TAAGGTAGCTATGAGTCGGTACTGACTCGATGGCACCTAATAATAGCAACATAAACAAATTTGAGAAGTTAGCACTTCATTTCGAATAAGATATTTTAAATCATCCACATATATACAAATAGTATCAGATAGGATCAGTCAATCGAAAGAACGATAGATAGATAGATAGATAGATAGATAGATAGATAGATAGATAGATAGATAGATATGTATGAGATAGATAATGGCAGCAATTGATACGTAACATGCAGGCACATTTTGAAATGTACTTCATATTTGAAAATATAAAGAAATCTTTTTAGATCTGGATTCTACACTTGAAATGTAGTTTTTCTTTGTTTGATCATCTATTTTAACTCCTATTATTTGTGACCCAATTAACACTTGCTCCTTCATTATCTTTGCATTTGGTAACCAATAATCTTGGCATAATGAAAAAAAAATTTAAATCTCTGAGATTAAGCCCTATTCTCTGAAGCTATCGGATTGGCTCTATTCTTTCGTGCCCATATACTGTTAATAGTGAGAATTACATTGTTCATCTGAGTTTTTCTAAACTATGAACACTCAAACATCCACCACCCCTTTATTTTTCTGCTAAATGAGTGAAATATTTTCATTGTGCCACAGTTGGTGTTACTATAGTCTTTAGGTAGTTAGCCAGAGAGAATTTTCAAGGATGAACTAGTAATATAAATTTGTCATTAGATGACACAACAGAGTGTGTATTTTTATAGTCACTTTTTCTCATTCAGTACTTACTTGTATAATAGCTGGTAGAACTCTATTAGGCTCACTGTGAATCTTTTCTATCAAGAATTTGATTTGAAGTAAAATTTTCTGATTTACAGTTACTTTTTATACTTAAATCTCTGTGAAGGTTTTATATGTATTCTTTCCTCATTATTTTAGTTCTTAACACATTTAATACATACTTCATATAACTCGTTTGGTGTTACTTGTTTTACTTTCAGAAAACTCCTCTTTCAAAACAATTGCCCCAATATCTAGAAATGCATATTATAGTGGAAAAAAGTTTGGTAAGTCAAAATTTTTCTTTGTTTCACCCCCTCATTCTTCCTTTCCCCCCCTCCTTTTACTCTCCATCTTTTCCTCCCTCCCTTTTTACCTCCCTTTCTTTCTCATGAACTTTTTACTTTAGTTTCAAAGATCTTGTTGTTGTTAAGTGCCATCAAGTCACTTTAGACTCGTAAAGATCCTGTATAGATTTTCCAAGGAGTGGCTGGTGGTTTCAACAATTATCCTTGGGGTTAATAAAGTTCATTCCTTCTCCTAAACATCATATCAGGACTCTAAAGGTAGTATGATATTTTTTTATTCTTTCAAAATAATAATATTTTATTTTAATTTCTGTTGCTGTTGTTAAGTGCTATCAGGTGATTCTGACTCATAGTGACCTGTATAGGGTTTCCAAGAAGCAACTAGTGGGTTTGAACTGCCTACCATGCAGTTAGAAGTCCAGCGCTTATCCTACATCTCCAATTATGTCATTAGTAATAAAACCTAAACTAGCCTTAATCCCCTACACTATCTGCTCTCCCCACTCCTAGTTTACCACAGTATAGCTTTGACCTCACTTCCTAATTGCCTTGATCTTACATTAGCCTGATCCTGCCTCATTGAACACTCATCATTTTATGAACTTACAGATATTTTTCACTGTACTAAATATTTTTGCTTAATATTTTCTCTTTCCTCCAAATTTTCAGTGCCCTTAGTTCTTTGCTCAAATACTATATTTAAAATTTTTTCTTCTCTAACTAAAATGATATCTCCATAAAATTAGTGTTTCACATTTTAGGATATTTTTTCTAACATATTCTCTAGCATCGTTTTTGATTGAATAAACTTACAATCTTTATTATATATTTAATTTTTATATAAAATGTTTGGATATATAACAAACTCCATGTACAGGCCTGTAGATGTTGTTAAGTGCCATCATTTTTCCGACAAATAGCTGAAGAACGGTTGGTGAGTTTGCACAACTCACCTTGCTGTTCAAACTGACCTCTCTGGCTAAGGCATTATCTTGCAACAAAGAGTCACTATAATTTCTACTTTCAAAAATTTACATTATGATATCCTACATACGTGAATAAAAATCAAAATTAAACCTAATACTGGTCTGATTCATAGTGACTCTATAGCACAGAGTAGAACTGCAGTATAGGGTATCCAAGGCTATAATCTTTAGGTCAAATCTTTCTCGCATGGAGCAAGCTGGTGTTTTCAAACCACTAGCATTTTGGTTAGCTACCCAGCACTTTAACCACAGTACCATCAGGTGTCCTTTATATATACATTGATGTTGCTGTTGTTGTTAAATGCCGTCAAATTGATTCCTACCTACAACGACCCTATATGGGGTTTCTGAGGAGCAGCTGGTGAGCTTGAACTGCTGACCTTGTGGTTCAAAGTGACTTTGCAGTCCAGCGCATTAATCCAAAGTGCCATACTAGGACTCCATATACATTAATAGGATATGTGAAATGTAAAATGGTAGGTAATATGTAGATGTAAGGTTTTTTTTTTTAGGAAAGTCTTCATAGAAAAATTTTTTTGAAGAATGACTAGAATTTGTCAGATGGATAAAATTGCAGGAATCAGAAACAAATGTCTATAAGGCAATTTATAAAACAATGAGTAGTTTGATATAGATAAACAACTGGTTTACACTAACACTTAATAGGTATATCAATGATGGAAATATAGAAAATGCATTAGAGAAGTATAGACTACAAGCACAAAGAGCGTTAGAAGGATATCCAAGTCATGTTGATGTTATTGGAGAAATAGAAATGAAACGATATTTAGGGGAAAGTGGATAAGAGGATTTTAAATAATGAATCCCATACTTGTTGCTGTTGTTAAGTTCTGAAGAGTAAGAATTGCAAGGTCTGCTGTTCAAACACACCAGCTGCTCCTTGGAAACACTATAAAGGGTCATTATGGGTCAGCTCCTGTAATGCATTTTCTATATTTCCATCATTGAACTGCTGACTGTGTGGTTCAAATCAACCTTGCCATCCAGTGCTTTATCACACAGTGCTACACCAGGACTCCTGAATTCTATACTTGCTCTTGTTGTTCTTAAGTGCTGAGTTGGTTCTGACACTTAGAAACCCTGTATAGGGTTCCAAGGAGTGGCTGGTGGGTTTGAACCACTGACCTTGTGGTTTAAAGTGACCTTGAGGTCCAGTGCATTATTCTGCAGTGTTACACCAAGAATCCTATACTAAGGAGTCTTAAATAGCAGAACCTAATCTCATTACCTCATTTCCAACTGGAAGCTAATAGAGAACTTACTTCAAGGCCTTTAAACAAATAGATGTATAGAAAAGTCTCATGAAAATATAGAGGAGAAGCTACATAGAGGTGAAACAAAGAGCCCTAGAATCAGTTAAGAGTTCATTACAGTAGTTGATGCCCAAATGTTTGTCTGTTTTGGGGCAGCATTGGATGTTTTAAATTGTAGGGGGAGTTTTTGTTTTATTTTATTTTTAAATAGTTTGCAATTTGTATAAGTTACATAAAGTTAGTCATAATAAAAGTCACTTTGAATTTTTACATATGCAGGTTGCTATGAGTCTGAACTGACTCAATGGTACTTAACAAAAACAATTGGTAAATATGTGTTTATCTAATAACTAATGACTCTCTGATGACTCAGGGGCACTTTTGCATATTGTTATTGATCATTTTGATATTTTTCAGGAAATGACAATATAAGGTTTTAATTTTTTTTTTATTGCTTTCTGAAAATTCTGCATGCATTCTGAATGCATCTTTTGTCAGAAAGCTAGATGTACTGAGAATATTTTCTTTTAGTCTATAATTTGTTTTTGTATTCTCTTAATGGTATATTTTCAAGGACAAATGTTCTTAATTAAAATGAATTTCAGTAAATACCATATTTTTATTATTACTTTTTTCTTCCATTTAAGAAATATTTTCTTACCCTAAACAAAAATATTTTCACCTCTGTTTTAGTTTTGGATTCCCAGGGTAACACAAATGGTTAGGCACTTGGATACTGGGTTGACTGTTGAACCTATCCCAGAGGTAGCTAGGAAGACAGATCAGGCCAGCTTCTTGTTTAAAAAAAAAATTTTTTTGTTGTAAATTGAGTGAAGGTTAACAGACAAGATTTACATTCAACAAATTATATGCTTTGCTTTATCTCAATGATTACAATTCCCTTCCTGCAACAACAATTATCCTACTTCTTCCTTGTGCCTTCTTTTTCACATATTATATTTCATAAATGAACAAAGCAAAAATACTTGGTGTATACATATAAAACAAAACTATATATATATATATTCATTTAAATGTCCTAAGGGCATTATTCTGCAAGCCAGAACTCCTGCCCACAGGCACACAACCTTACTTAGTCCATGGGAAGCTCTTCTATCTCTCAGTACCATCACCTCTGCCATCGTCTCTGCTGTTATCAATTTTCTAGGTAGTATCTCATGCTTTACTTATGTTTTTCTTTTGTGATGGTCCTTGGATCTTCTGTTACTGAAATAAAAGATGAACGACCACTCCCCTCTTAGTTGCACATCTTCTACAATTACAGTTTTGACTATCACAATTAATTTTGCAAACAATTACTCACAATTGAATCATAAAATCCTATTCACCATTAATTCCCATCCCCTTTAACTTGATCCATCTGGAGAAGAGTAAAGCTATTCAGTGGAAATTCTACCTTACCCTAACATTCTGAAACTAAGCACATTCATGAAAGCATGTAAGCTTTGTGCCTTTATAGCACCCCCATTTTTTATAGCCAATATCTAGATTGTCTGTCCCTATCAACCCAGTGTGCTAAGATGAAGAACCCTTCCATTCCGGTTGAAATTTTGAGAAAATGCATCCATAAACACAGGTCCAGTTCAAATTGTAGCAATTTTACACTTGCTAACAATATCAAGCATCTTTATCTTCATCTTAACAAGTTCTGGTCAGCTAGCCATCCAAGCTAGGTCAAATGGGTACTAGCTTCAAGTTTGGGAGTTCACTGACACCTTTCTGTACTTCAGACCAGCTGTCAGGCCATCTACTTCTCAAAGATTATAATTTTGAAAACTCTGTAAAGCACTTCATTCTGCACTCATGGGGTCACTATAGTCAGAATAGATTCAAAAGCAGCTAACAACAATAAAAATGCTTTATTTGAGAGGGATTTTTAATATCTTTTTTACATATAGTTTTACATCAGAGGGTCAAATCTTTTCTAATCTCTAAGTGTTCATGATGTGAGGTGAGGTAGGTACTAAGGCTTTATTTTTCTATAGATGTAGCATATTAATTTGTTCCAGTGCCATATTTTTAAATAAATTCATTTATCCCTTTAAAGTGCATCAAAAATTAAAAGCATATCATGAAATGTGAGTATGGACTGGTCTATTTCAGGATTTTCTGTTTCTTTCTTCTGTGTATAGGGTCACTATGTGTCTGTACTGACTCAATTGCACCTAACAACAGCAACAATATTATGAATAGTCTAAGTAAAAATGTCATTTATGAATAAGAATTTTAATTCTTCATTTCTAAATTTTTATTTCCTTTCTTTTGCTTTTCATTCATTTTCTTGCTATATGTATATATTTATTAATCAGTTACTTATTTCTTTTTCTTGATTTATTGACCTAGTATTACTCTCCTATATTATTGCTCTCCTATATTGACCTAGTATTGCTCTCCTATATAATATTTAGAGAAAATACATTGTCTATAAGATAGAAAAAGGGTAGGAATGTGTTCCATATTCTATGGAACACATGGAATAGAATATGGAACACATTCCTACCCTTTTTCTATCTTATAGAAAATGTATTTTCTCTAAATATAATAGTAGTTATCAACTTTTGGAAAATACCTTCATAGAATTAAGAAAGTTACCATATATCCCTATATTTATGAATTTGTGTAGTTTGCTCCCCCCTATCCCATGGACATTTGTTGAATTTCAACAATTTTTTTTTCTGCATTCATTAAAAATTATATT